TAGTTGGCCGGCACGGGACGATCACTGTACACTGTATGTACACTAGTATCAAAGGCTCCATTTTCATTGAACAAAATGGGCGTTGATTTCCTAGTTACAGGGCTATAGTGGGCTTATTTTGCCTTNCGATGCCATCCAAAATCGGATTTCCGACTTTGACAAGCGACACATCTCTAGACCAAAAAACCAATAAACAAACTAGTCATGAATAGCCGAAGACTCTTGATAGCAGCTGTATTTCATTTTGTACTTCCAATGGAAAAAGACAGCTAAAAAAATCACATGTTGACACAAAACTCTGTTACCTTCAGCTGTCAAAGTAAACAAGATTCAAGGTGCTGCACAAATTTTCTGCATGAACTCACCGGTCAAATTTTGACCAACCAGAGCATAAAAATTGGACGTGCAGCGTGACCAACGCGTGACCTGGGTAAGAAAAGGTCTTCCACAGCCTCGTACCCAGGCCTGTTCGCGCTATCCGAGTGACCAGAGGAGGCTTGGAACCGAGCGCGATGGCGCGAGGCCTGGCAAAAAATGGCAAAAAAGTCCCAGATCGACGAGAAAAAGTCCCAGATAATTTCTCGACGAAAACCCTTTGTTTTCTGCGTCGATCACGGAATATTTCGGACTCATGAGATTAAGACATCTCTTCCGAGCATCTTTGGACCGTTTCAACTGATAGCAACGAAATGTGGCCGGCATGATTTCCCAAAAACACTGGTAAGTTAAGCATATTGTTTACAGTCTTGTTCGCTACACGAAGGTAGAAAAAAATTTCTTCGTAGTTGGCCGGCACGGGACGATCACTGTACACTGTATGTACACTAGTATCAAAGGCTTCATTTTCATTGAACAAAATGGGCGTTGATTTCCTAGTTACAGGGCTATAGTGGGCTTATTTTGCCTTTGTTGTTCAAATCGTTGCTAGGAAAAAATCACGAGAATCATTTACACGGTTTCGCGCGAAAAGCTAAAAAAAAAGGAACACTACATGCCATTTTCAGCTGTTTGAATATGCTTTTTGCTCTTTATAATAATCTAGTACCTTGAACTTGTACCTTGCAGCTCCCGGTTCATGCAGAACATTCTAATAGTCTATTTTGAAAATAGCACCGGTAACTCATGTAATATTCGGGTGTCTTAGTTTTACTTGATTTTTAATGATATGACTATCATTCAGTCCTTTATATGATTGTGACTTGGAGCGATTTTACTGGACTCATGAAACATTTAATAACAACGAGTGCAAAATATGGCTACAAATAAACAAAAGAAGACAATAGAATTAGTGCATAATAGTGCTTAGTATTCTACTTCCTGTTTCATGCGTTAAGTAAAATCACTCTGAAGGAGGTTGCAATTTTAGAGATGGGAAAATTTTGGATAGTTGACACTTAATCTTAATTTACCTGCCACACAGGCGTAATTTCTGAGCAAGGTATTGTACATTAAATGTTTAGTTTTTTATTATATATTGTCTATTTTTTTAACTTCCTTTACATTAATTTTCAGAAAGTTTTAAAGGGGATGAAAGGAGAGCATGTAATAGATGACCCTGGGGATGTGCAGGATACAGGAGCAAAAGGAAAATGTAATTGAGCTGAAGAAAACTTGAAATGGACATAAAAATATGAAACCGTTATGTTTAATATTGAATTTCTTAGATTTCATCAAACAAAACTGTATTGATTTTATAACGAAATTAGATTGATTTCCTTACAAGCCATAGTTCTGAACACTTGCGAAATTTGTTAAGAGAAATTTTTTAAACCTGCAAACAACTACTTCTTGTCTTGTAAAGCTTTTTGTGGGAATGGGTTGGGAAAACAGTTTCAAGACCAACTTAAGACCTTTTTCCACTTAATTTGATGCCATAATGGTACCATTGGCTGGGCCAGCTACATGCCATTTTCAGCTGTTTGAATATGCTTTTTGCTCTTTATAATAATCTAGTACCTTGAACTTGTACCTTGCAGCTCCCGGTTCATGCAGAACATTCTAATAGTCTATTTTGAAAATAGCACCGGTAACTCATGTAATATTCGGGTGTCTTAGTTTTACTTGATTTTTAATGATATGACTATCATTCAGTCCTTTATATGATTGTGACTTGGAGCGATTTTACTGGACTCATGAAACATTTAATAACAACGAGTGCAAAATATGGCTACAAATAAACAAAAGAAGACAATAGAATTAGTGCATAATAGTGCTTAGTATTCTACTTCCTGTTTCATGCGTTAAGTAAAATCACTCTGAAGGAGGTTGCAATTTTAGAGATGGGAAAATTTTGGATAGTTGACACTTAATCTTAATTTACCTGCCACACAGGCGTAATTTCTGAGCAAGGTATTGTACATTAAATGTTTAGTTTTTTATTATATATTGTCTATTTTTTTAACTTCCTTTACATTAATTTTCAGAAAGTTTTAAAGGGGATGAAAGGAGAGCATGTAATAGATGACCCTGGGGATGTGCAGGATACAGGAGCAAAAGGAAAATGTAATTGAGCTGAAGAAAACTTGAAATGGACATAAAAATATGAAACCGTTATGTTTAATATTGAATTTCTTAGATTTCATCAAACAAAACTGTATTGATTTTATAACGAAATTAGATTGATTTCCTTACAAGCCATAGTTCTGAACACTTGCGAAATTTGTTAAGAGAAATTTTTTAAACCTGCAAACAACTACTTCTTGTCTTGTAAAGCTTTTTGTGGGAATGGGTTGGGAAAACAGTTTCAAGACCAACTTAAGACCTTTTTCCACTTAATTTGATGCCATAATGGTACCATTGGCTGGGCCAGCTACATGCCATTTTCAGCTGTTTGAATATGCTTTTTGCTCTTTATAATACCCTAGTGCCTTGAACTTGTATCTTGCAGCCCCCAGTTCATGCAGAACATTCTAATATTGTCTATTTTGAAAATAGCACCAAAAACTCATGTAATATTCTTTTTAAACTTATGACTCACTGGAAGACCACTGCTGCGAAAGTGGTTCGAGATAAGAAAAAGAAAACAGAAAAAAAAGGAAAGCACTTAATTTGAGTGTCAATGTATTCAGAACGAAAGTCTTAATTGGGGACACTATTTTTACGTCTACTACCGCCATTTTGCGTGGTCATGAATCGAGCCACGCAAAGGTCTAGCCATTTGCACCATGGCAAAGGTAATACCTTCATTTCTCAGTCATTTTAAGATCCTGAGTATTGGTCCGACCCCGGGAATTGAACTTGTGACCTCCCACTCTGCAGTCGAGCACTCTACCAACTGAGCTAATCCTACCACGGTTGAGATTAAGTTTACATAAGATAGTAATACAGTGGAACATAGATATGGGGACGTGCAACATCAACAACAATAGAATCAGACATTGATAGAATCAGAGAGAAAGCTTGGCTGAAAGTTTTCAACAGTCCCCAAAGGATCATCTCATTTAAATGGTGGGTAGATACACTAGTTGAAGATGACTTGGATATGGAATTGAATTTTATTCATGCTAAATGCTATAAAAGCATGGACACAAAGTGTTTTACATCTGATGCCGTTTCAGGATTTTTGAACGCTCCTGATGTTACTCAGTATGTTGTAAACTGCCCCTAAAGCTTGTATCTGCCCCACTGAGGCGTATTCAAAAGGCTGACAGCACTTTATGACTACTGTTTTGTATATTTAATGGACAAAAGCAGCGTCTATCAGTTGATCCACTATCGTTTAGGACGACACCTAGGCTAGAAGTCTCTCTTGAATTACGATGCGCGCCGGCAGTGCTGCGATTCGATTAACGGAGCTAATTCGATGACACATCTTTCACGAAGTTCAACATGGTTTAACTCATTCACGACAGGCAATGGAACACACTCCTGAGATGGGACGATTTTTTTGGGCTGAATTAAATCTATATTTTTTGATACAATCAAAACTCGAAATTACTGAACTACGATAATAACAGGTGTACACGCGGAACGATTCCTTGAAAGAAAATCCTCCAACATCTCTATGTATTTGATGGCAAACGTTGATTAAAGAATCCCAACCTATTTCCGACGCTTTTTTTCATTTCTTCAAGAATCTAGGCTGAAGTCGCATTCTTTGCTCGACGCCCCATTTTGGATTTGCCATTATTTGCCAGGCGTCCTAGGCGAATTTTCCCAACAAGCTTGACAGGTGACGTCACATCCGAAATCGCCGAGGACGCCTGGGAACGAGGCTGGGTCTTCCCCACCTGTATTTTTAAATAACTGGCTGAATTTTCGCGTCCGTGGTTAGCTTGACATCAAATTCTTAATAGTGCAGGGCCATCGTCACATGAACACAATATAATTCATATAAATGTTTAAAAAATAAACTTGAGCCTGCGATCATTTGAAAACCAGTAACTTGTCAGCGGATAACTTCAAAAAAATCCTCGACCTCGATGTGTCGACACCTGAGCCCGAGATACAGTCAGGTGATACTGGTCAGCGGCTACCTTGTTTTGACAGCTGTCAATTGGTCACAACATTGATGTGCAATCAGCTTCCTCCTGGACTCCCAAAGTAGTTAGAAAGTGTCAAAGTAAACATTGGGTTTCCTGTGCTGCGTACGGACGGCGGTCGGTCGGTCGGTGTACGGTCACGTGATTACCAAATTTTCTGGGATGGGTAGATTTACTAAGCTATGGGGCTTCCCCCACGCGCGCGCTTCGGAGGATAGACGTCGCTTTGAAAATTGGAGTGGAGGTTTGAAATTTGGAGAGAAAAATTTAATTTTAACAAAAATCATTAAAAGGTAAATATCAGTTGGTATGAAAGTGGAGACAGATGTTAGACGGGATAAATGAACCAAGTTTTCTAGGTGGAAATAAAATATACTTGTTATGTAGAAGTGATGGAAAGTCAGTGGTTGAAAGCAATTACTATAAATTTCTGTTTAAAGACAGAATTTGGCTATTGATTTACTGACTGGAAATGATGTCAAAATTATTGTGATGATTAAATATTCGAAAAATCCTGTTCTAACCAGTGTCAATGCGTTCATGACAATACTTGGTTGCCAGTTCTGATCGTCTTACAATAGGATGCTGTAAGGCTTGAGCCAGGCACTTATACGATGCGGCGGGTCCGGCTGTTTGTATCCACTTCTTTAACACAGCTGTAAATTGGACAAAGTGTTGAAAAGAGTTGTGTGGCGTAAATGTATAGGGAGCAAGGTAGAAGCCTTGTTCACTACACAGTTCTCTCAATATAATGGCATTACAACGAAAAAGGACCGCTTGAAATGATCGTGAAAAATATAACGTTTCTTGGCAAAATCCAACGGTAGGGTAAAAATTCTACTCGTTCATGGATGCATATGTGACTGATTGTACGTTTGGATGTCTTCCACATTTCGGTATGTTGAATACCAGAATCAATCAATACCCGGGTAAAATTTGATCAATAACTGGCAGACTGATTCTAGACACTTGGTTTCTTTCTCATATCACCCTATTTAGTGTGTAATCATACTCATGTGATGGGATCTATCAACCTATCTTACTGTTATTTATTTGGTACACACCGTAGCTTTTTTCATGCAAATGGCGCTCGTCCTCCTCCATCTGTTCTAAAACAGGTTCAGGAAGGCACAGGATTCGACCAAGCATCTTCCAGGAGCTACCAAGCCCTGAAGCAATGAGGAGAAGGTCACTGGACGATGGTACGCCAGACTTGAAAGACACGGTACGATCCATGACTACTTCGTCTTCTACTGCGGTACTTGCTTCGAAGCTACCAACAATGTGATGATCCAAGACTGAAGAAGCTGTTTGAAAGCAACCATTCTAATTCACAAATTTATCATACACATCTTTAACAACACAAGGGCGTCCAAAATGATGGTAGCTTAAGCCCATTAGGTCTAGAACTAATAGGAAATTTGTTAGGATTTCTAGCTTACAACTACAGTAGATTACAGGCCGGAACAAGCACCCTCGGTAGTTCAAATCCCGGGCTGGCGCGAACCACAATTGATTTCCACTAGATTTGCCTATTCCATACATTAACCGCTGTAATTTTACCTTTGATGTTGACTTCCACTGACGCGTTGTTGGCTACGCACGTTAACGTAAGTATATTTTAATCACGTAAATAAAACAGAGACAAGATAAAAAATGCTAAGCTTAAACGAGAAGTTGAGCAAGGTTCAACTTTTACGCTTACGAGCGACCTTTCATGCATTTAATCTATTTTATTTGCGAACGTAAATTTTAGGCACGTACGCACGTAAAAATTACGCAACACTGGAAATCAACCCTTAGTGACTCGAACCCTCCAATAAAAACTGCCGCCCACTTAGCTTAGTAACAAGAGCGCCGGACACTTTAGCTGTAGGTCGCAGGTTCAAAACCCGGCTGGACCAGGAACCAGGCGTGAATTTAATTTATGACTACTGTTTTGTATATTTAATAGACAAAAGCAGCGTCTATCAGTTGATCCACTATCGTTTAGGACGACACCTAGGCTAGAAGTCTCTCTTGAATTACAATGCGCGCCGGCAGTGCTGCGATTCGATTAACAGAGCTAATTCGATGACACATCTTTCACGAAGTTCAACATGGTTTAACTCATTCACGACAGGCAATGGAACACACTCCTGAGATGGAACGATTTTTTGGGCTGAATTAAATCCATATTTTTTGATACAATCAAAACTCGAAATTACTGAACTACGATAATAACAGGTGTACACGCGGAACGATTCCTTGAAAGAAAATCCTCCAACATCTCTATGTATTTGATGGCAAACGTTGATTAAAGAATCCCAACCTATTTCCGACGCTTTTTTTCATTTCTTCAAGAATCTAGGCTGAAGTCGCATTCTTTGCTCGACGCCGCCATTTTGGATTTGCCATTATTTGCCAGGCGTCCTAGGCGAATTTTCCCAACAAGCTTGACAGGTGACGTCACATCCGAAATCGCCGAGGACGCCTGGGAACGAGGCTGGGTCTTCCCCACCTGTATTTTTAAATAACTGGCTGAATTTTCGCGTCCGTGGTTAGCTTGACATCAAATTCTTAATAGTGCAGGGCCATCGTCACATGAACACAATATAATTCATATAAATGTTTAAAAAATAAACTTGAGCCTGCGATCGTTTGAAAACCAGTAACCTGTCAGCGGATAACTTCAAAAAAATCCTCGACCTCGATGTGTCGACACCTAAGCCCGAGATACAGTCAGGTGATACTGGTCAGCGGCTACCTTGTTTTGACAGCTGTCAATTGGTCACAACATTGATGTGCAATCAGCTTCCTCCTGGACTCCCAAAGTAGTTAGAAAGTGTCAAAGTAAACATTGGGTTTCCTGTGCTGCGTACGGACGGCGGTCGGTCGGTCGGTGTACGGTCACGTGATTACCAAATTTTCTGGGATGGGTAGATTTACTAAGCTATGGGGCTTCCCCCACGCGCGCGCTTCGGAGGATAGACGTCGCTTTGAAAATTGGAGTGGAGGTTTGAAATTTGGAGAGAAAAATTTAATTTTAACAAAAATCATTAAAAGGTAAATATCAGTTGGTATGAAAGTGGAGACAGATGTTAGACGGGATAAATGAACCAAGTTTTCTAGGTGGAAATAAAATATACTTGTTATGTAGAAGTGATGGAAAGTCAGTGGTTGAAAGCAATTACTATAAATTTCTGTTTAAAGACAGAATTTGGCTATTGATTTACTGACTGGAAATGATGTCAAAATTATTGTGATGATTAAATATTCGAAAAATCCTGTTCTAACCAGTGTCAATGCGTTCATGACAATACTTGGTTGCCAGTTCTGATCGTCTTACAATAGGATGCTGTAAGGCTTGAGCCAGGCACTTATACGATGCGGCGGGTCCGGCTGTTTGTATCCACTTCTTTAACACAGCTGTAAATTGGACAAAGTGTTGAAAAGAGTTGTGTGGCGTAAATGTATAGGGAGCAAGGTAGAAGCCTTGTTCACTACACAGTTCTCTCAATATAATGGCATTACAACGAAAAAGGACCGCTTGAAATGATCGTGAAAAATATAACGTTTCTTGGCAAAATCCAACGGTAGGGTAAAAATTCTACTCGTTCATGGATGCATATGTGACTGATTGTACGTTTGGATGTCTTCCACATTTCGGTATGTTGAATACCAGAATCAATCAATACCCGGGTAAAATTTGATCAATAACTGGCAGACTGATTCTAGACACTTGGTTTCTTTCTCATATCACCCTATTTAGTGTGTAATCATACTCATGTGATGGGATCTATCAACCTATCTTACTGTTATTTATTTGGTACACACCGTAGCTTTTTTCATGCAAATGGCGCTCGTCCTCCTCCATCTGTTCTAAAACAGGTTCAGGAAGGCACAGGATTCGACCAAGCATCTTCCAGGAGCTACCAAGCCCTGAAGCAATGAGGAGAAGGTCACTGGACGATGGTACGCCAGACTTGAAAGACACGGTACGATCCATGACTACTTCGTCTTCTACTGCGGTACTTGCTTCGAAGCTACCAACAATGTGATGATCCAAGACTGAAGAAGCTGTTTGAAAGCAACCATTCTAATTCACAAATTTATCATACACATCTTTAACAACACAAGGGCGTCCAAAATGATGGTAGCTTAAGCCCATTAGGTCTAGAACTAATAGGAAATTTGTTAGGATTTCTAGCTTACAACTACAGTAGATTACAGGCCGGAACAAGCACCCTCGGTAGTTCAAATCCCGGGCTGGCGCGAACCACAATTGATTTCCACTAGATTTGCCTATTCCATACATTAACCGCTGTAATTTTACCTTTGATGTTGACTTCCACTGACGCGTTGTTGGCTACGCACGTTAACGTAAGTATATTTTAATCACGTAAATAAAACAGAGACAAGATAAAAAATGCTAAGCTTAAACGAGAAGTTGAGCAAGGTTCAACTTTTACGCTTACGAGCGACCTTTCATGCATTTAATCTATTTTATTTGCGAACGTAAATTTTAGGCACGTACGCACGTAAAAATTACGCGACACTGGAAATCAACCCTTAGTGACTCGAACCCTCCAATAAAAACTGCCGCCCACTTAGCTTAGTAACAAGAGCGCCGGACACTTTAGCTGTAGGTCGCAGGTTCAAAACCCGGCTGGACCACGAACCAGGCGTGAATTTAAAAAAGGAAGACCATGCTGGCTGTGTTTAAGACTTTTGAATCGTATCAGATGATTCTCTCCCTTTCTTATTCAAAACCAGGGCTAAGAACCCATGCAATATTTGAAGGAATAGCCAACGTAGAGCAACCTGACTGTTATATGTATCTCGAGAAACAATCAGGTCAATCGACTTCTATTCAATAGCAAATCGAAGCCGAATCAGTAAAACTCAAATGTACACATACCATACCTTTCGCTGTCCTGTTTTCCGTTTTCGCTTCATCGGCCTGTGAGAAAGACAAGTCATCGTATTTTAGAGCAGAATAACACAAGAAAAAAGGGTTTAACAGAAAAAGCATGCTGGCAGTGAATTAAATGCGGTGCCACACAATAAATCACATTCCTTGGAAACTTACAGGCGTCGAGATCAAACGCTGAAATTGAAACTAAATTGTGCTAGCTTGAATGTCAGAATTAGTTCCACATTTGGCACAACAGAACACAGCAGACCGTATCAGGATTTTATGTCTTCTCTCCGTCTACTTTGGAGGAACATAAGGGCGTGGACCCACCATTTTTTTTTTCTAGCATATGACGTTCAACATTTGTACTAGACCCACTCTTTAAATCATCCACTTTAGGAGTATCTACGGCGAGTTGCCATGCTTGAAACCTTTAGTTTGACCCCAGTAGACAAATCCTAAGGCGTCAAATTTTGTATCTCCTCTTCTGCGAATTCAAAGCAATTGTAGGGTACAAACAGGTTACACGGACCTTCAGTAACTTGTTATAGTGTTTGTCAATCTCGTAAAGCAAATTAGATACAATGCAGCCCATTATTGCGTTCGACGAAGGAGAACGACATCTTAATCAAGACAAACTTGGAGTAACAAACCATGATTCGTTATGAAGTCGAGCGCTTGACTGGTTATCGTAAGAAGGAGCTGCGTGCATGTGCAATTAGTTTCACTGCAGTATTTCTCGTATTTCGGTTCGGGGTACATACATGTCTTTTACTGAATAAGTAAAAAAGGCTAGATATAGTCCTTACCTCAATGAGATGAAACCATTTCTCCAATCCATGAACGTTCACTGTGTTATCACCGAAACTCCTCGAACAAAACAGCTTCTCCCCTGGTAGCACCTGCAGAAGATGCTGACAATCGTCGTGATCACTTGATACTAAGCCATGCTTTCTACACTGTTCACTGCTTTGCAAGCAAGAAGTGCATAAAACACATAGTTCATAGCGAAGGTTGCATAACCAGGATAGTTCACGAGACAAACTTTGCAAAGTTTCTTCGAGAGAGTCTCGAACCTTATTAGCCATCAATCGAGTAGCACATGTTCCGGCCGAAGAATTGGAAGTAGTATTTTTCTTTAACAAGACCTTGATGAATCTCTTTCTGCAGAGAAGAATAAGCTCAAAAATGTCATGCACTCCGATGAAAAGCCTTGCGCCATTTTGGAATAATTGAGGTGGTCCTTTTAACCTCTGTTTTGAACACCAGTGAATACATTTTGACAAAAGCTGAGGGAAGAAACCGTTAGGAACAAAGCCGTCAAGAAAGTGCAGGTACAACGGACATGGATCGCTTTCAGAAGGCTTCAATTCGCAGAGACCTGACGGAGATGATCTTAGCTGAGAGGGAACAAAGAACTCAGTTTGCTCCTGTCCGCTTTCTGCAGATGAACAAGAGAATTTGATGATCAATCCATAGGCCTCCATCATGTCCAAAATATCCTGCTTACTCAGACCTTCCTGGATAAATTCTGCAAAAATGTGATCAACCAAAGCCATCCTTAGAATGCCGCTTTGCTCAAGCTCAAGCCAGCACTCTGAAAACATAGGATCCTAAATACAAAGAAAAAAGAAGTTTAATTTATACAACTCGTCTAAAATAAAAACAAAAAACAAACAGGCAAAGAAACAAAAAATTTAGCCTTGCTATCTTCAGTCAAGAAAGGGCCAAAACTAACAATGTTGTCATTTAATAGGAAACAACAATTCTTTTTTTTTTTTAGTCGCCGAGGGTTTGCGAAGATTTCGCAAAAGATACGGCATTCTAAATAACAATACCACAAAATAATACTATGTGCGGATTCTACGACTGTGTTTCACATTCGTAAATGGAATGATAAACAGTAGATTCGAGTAAGGTCTAAATTCGCCACTTATGAAACGAGAGGGAAACTGGGTCAAACAAACTTTCGCAAAGACGTCTGGGCCATTTGCTGGGGACAGGAGAATAATGGCCAATAGCTGACAGGTGAGTCCTCAGAAACGATCCCAGAAACAATTGCGGGAGGCATTTCGGCTCCAGTTCGATTCTCGTTTCCCCAGTGGCGAATGGAAATGATACCACTTGATGAAGTTACATTTCACCATTAGTTTTTCAAAGGTCACCTCTCCTACGTTGTGTAGCAAGCGCGTTCAGAATTTCCTCATATTGTTACATAAGAGTTTGTTTTTCACTCATTTTCCTGCTTATATGAAGAATATGTTTTCACTCCGGTCCTCTTCCTATGATCTTCGTGGCAACTACATTCTTTTATTTAGTAAACCTAATACAACTACCAAGGGTCTTAACTCCTTTTCTTACTTTTCAGCTAAGCAGTGGATCGAATGCACTGCCAGACTTTTTTCGCACTAGCTTTTTACAGACTTTAAGACTAAAATGCAGGGTGTTACCTTTATATAGATTCTTTTGCTTGTACATACTTATACTTAAAATTGTAAATAATATTTTTCTATTATTATTAAAATTATTGTTATTATTATTATTCATAATATATTTAAAATATTTTTCTTTTTTTATGTAGTGTCAGCTCAAAGATATTAGCTTGTTGGCTACTCTAAAATTCGAGCATAAATAAAGTTTATGATACGTTATGTTATGTCAGGGTAACAAAAACATCAAAGAATCACTTCAAAGTTTGTATTGTAATTACGTTATCAAAAGACATAACTTACAACTTCATCAAAAGGCCGCACAGTTATCAATTGTTTGAAAAGATCAATCAACCACTGCGCCTGCAATACCACAGTCTGGCCGTGCTTAACAATCACGCCAAGGTCGTGATAGAAATTCAGCATGGCTGTCAACTCATCCCCGTCATAGATGCGGCAAACCTTTCTTGTGACATTCAGGAGCTGATCTAGATCCATGTAGTAGGTTCCCTTGGCCACTAATGCTTCTACAACTTTTTCGAAGTTAAACCATCTAAGGAATGCACCATGCAAACTTTTACACATCATCTACTTACACATCTTGCCCCCCTCCCTCCAAGCAACATGAAGAAACTGATATTTCTCGTAAAGTGCCTAAAGACAGTTATTGGAATTAACTCATATTTTCTAAATTTGAGAAAGCTCCTACATCGATTTCCAAGAATTAATTAAGATTTTTTTGCTGTTGACAATAAAGAATAAAAAAGAATTTAATGGCTTTAACCAGATTTAGTGCGGCTTACGCTTACGCTATTTTTACGTTGCCACAGACTGCTGTGAGTTTTTTGTTTCCAAGTGCTTGAGTAAACAGCCCTCGAAAAAGTTTGCTATAACATTTTTAACGAAATATGGCAGCATTTTACCTCAGCGGTACCTCTTCTCCCATGTACGGCTCTTGATTCAAAACTTCCATGATTTTCTGCCGCAGTCCTTGAACTCCTAAATCTTTGTTCGACTTGGTGTTATCAACAGCAAAGAATGGCCTAATCACGTGCTTCTCGTATGTTTTGCCCGAGACACTTCTCTGGATGCACTTTTCCGTGGTTCTGGGATCTTCAAACGGTTGATCGGCGTTTGTGCCCACAATGATCACTGGAGGACGTAGATAAGGTACACTCGTCGCTTGGCTATCGAGGGCTTTGCCGACTTGATCCACTTGGGGCACAATGGCGTGCACAGATACCAACCAAGACAAAAGATGATCTAGATTGGTCTCATTGTTTGGGTTGTCCAGAACAACCTCATGAGTGCCTTGCCTGACACGAGGTTCTGCTTTGGCACATATACTCTTGTGGAGGTTGTACACTAAGATGTAAATTGCACGCCGGGAAAGAAACACAGAATGGGATGCATAGTAAAGGTGTTGACCTGCAAAATCCCACAGCGTTAAAACCACTTCCTTCGCTTTGATGTGTTCTTCTAATTTCAGATTCTTTAGGTACCGGACAACCAATTCGGTAACGTCATTTGGTACGACTGAGGTGCTGCCGATATTGAGCTCAGCTTGATACCTATTTTCCAGATCACTATCATCAGAAGATTCCTCTTCCATCTCCTTAACCATGATGGTATCTGGCGTTGACTCAGTAGCAGTAGCAGCAGCAGCAGCAGCAGGATTAGGCAGGTTGTTATGCCGTAACTACAATAAATGTAAACCGCGGTAAATATATCATATATATGACGAAAAGTCCTGGAGTACGTTGTAGTCAGTTTTCGCAAAAATAATTGGTATGCGAATTTGAATCCGCAACGTTTTGGTTCCGGATTCAAAAATTTCCATGTCCAAAGTATCCGCATTCAAATCGGATTTACCCGTCCACACGTATCCGGATTCACTCTAGTACCCAAGACTCCACCGGGAATATTGGCAACAGAGCATGCGTCGTAAAGCGCCCGAACTTTGCATCTTACCTTACATTGAGAGAATCTGGAAACAAGCTTGCCATCTTGAATACAGTATTCAAGGTAAAGACCTGGCTCGATCTTGTTACGTCACTGGATGAAAAAATTTTTATATATCCGGATTTAGCGAACACACGATTCCGGATTCATACTGCATTCAAAAATTTCCACTCTGGAGAGCGGATTAGTTTGCCGGATGCATCTGACACGTGTGGACCGAGGCCGTATCCGGAAAGAAAAAGGTGCGGATTCAAAAATATCCGGATACGAGTGGACGTGGCCTTAGTCACAAGCAATTGACGAAAGTTATTATTATTTTTTTCCTGCTTAACAACTATACATTAAAGCAAAATCACTCTTTATTTAATGCTACTTCTTTCAACTAGGCAGTAAACCTCGTAATGGAATTTTTAAGCGTATTTTAGATGATTCGCATGAAAAGAACACTACCTCCTTTTGTGAAGGTGAACCAGCAGTCGAAACATTTTCTTGATCAACTGTGTCGTCCAAATCTTTGGCGACTAACTTTGCCACGTCTTCAACAAAATCAGAGACATTTTCTTGATCAACTGTTTGGTTCAAATCTCTGGCGACTAACTTTGCCATGTCTTCAGCAAAATCAGAGACATCAAGCTTCTTCCGTTCTGTAGGTTCCCAGTTCTTTATTTGAGCGACTTCCAGCTCACATCTGGAAGGATCAACTTCCACCCCTATTGTGCTGTTTTCTTGAGGGTTAAACGGCAAACCAAGCAGGGATTTCTTCAAGCTTGTCTTGCCAGCACGGTCTTGACCAAGGATCATGATACGGCCGCGGTATACTTTGACTTTCCCAATCTGCAAAGCTCTTTCGTAAGCACGCTGAGCCCTAGGTCCTCGGGCAAGAATCTCTGGTGGCACTGATGAATCTGTGGAACGAAAATGCCTTCTAAAATTTTAAATTTCTTTTTGTTTGTTACACAAGTAAAAATAATGGCATAACAATGCAAAGTCGGGTGATTTGCATGTTTCCCCACAATTTGAAACTACGGATGCATCACTTACTGTACTTGAAATCATTCGGGCATTACTAGTCAAGAAACTAATGCAACAACACGGGTCCTGTGTGTGACTTATTCCCTTCAGAGATGCGACGTTGCTATAGAGGGTTTTCACTCACGTCTATGCTAATTTATTTGGACAAAAAAAGCGTTTACATAAAACAACTCGACAGAGGATTGGTTTGGACACCAACAAGGCCGCCTTTTATCGTTTTGTAACACCAAAAAAACACTCTATAAGAGATTTGTGCTTTAAATTCGAAGAAAGATCATACATTGAACTAATAACACGAAAGATTTATTTTCATTGCTACGCATTTTGTCCTCGCACCTTCTGTTAGCTCAGAGACAGGAACTTCCTCCACATTTTCTGCTGTGAAAAACCCAACTTCCTTGCTTTGTGTTTCACCCAGCCATACATTCTTTTTTTCTCTTAAAATATACATACACAGAAAAATATTTACATCAGTAAAACTAAACAACTTCCTCTTCAGTTGGTGGTGTTCATTCCTTCAAAAAGCGATAATTTTCAGGATAGGAGAAAGTTAGAAAATATAATCACAGTTTGCCTTTAGTAGGTATGTTTTATCTGTTGAAAACTCATGGCTTTTATGTCCAAATCAGTTTAAACAAAAACACAAGGACTTGTCGAAAGTGCTATCAAAGAAAACAAAAACTAATGATTTTATGACGAATTGGAGCAAACCTGTGACGGTCCTTGGAAATGAGAGTTATCAATTCCCCCGTCTCTCCTCTAAGAAACCCCGCTGATTCTGCATTGAAGCTTCTTTTCACTTTGACTTTTAAAGGATTTTCCTGAATAAATTAAACATTCAAGTAAAAGCAAATATTGAGAAATGCTGTATATCCTTAAGTCTACTTTAAAATGTACTGTCAAATAATACTATGTACATTGTGAATGCATAGTTAAGTTGTGTCTTAAAATGTTTTTTGTTTTGCGCTAAAAGGGGTTTTCTTGTTATGACTTCGATTCTTTTGGTTCTTCTTGTATTTTACTAGCTACATATTAGAGTAACACGTCTGACGGTCAATTTAAATAATTTACTTTTGACTTACTATCGCCATAAGAGATTGACTGATCTCAGAGAAGGACGGTCTCTCTTTGGGGTTATCTCGTAGACAACGATCAAACACTTCACAGAAGTGCGAGGGGCAGAGATAACCATGCTTACTTCGAAGGTTTTGAGATGTATCCTAAAAGGTTGAAAAAAAAAACAACAAAAAAACAGAAGGATTAACTGTAACGGTGGTCATAGCCGAGACCCTTTGTAGTTAGCGCACAGCTATGGGGCCTAGGATCAAAACCGTATCCTTGCAATATGCAGCGCATGTTCAACAATGATCTTCCTCGATTCATTTATATACAGAGTCTTTCTGGAGTACGCAAAAATTGAGAGAGCGCAGGGGCGGATCCAGGATTTCTCTCAGGAGGGGGTGGACCACTAAGAAACTACAAATTTAACTACCATTTTCACGGCGTTTAACATAAATTTTTCAACCTCGTCTCATGTTCTACTTCAACTGACAGAATACCAGTTGTATTAGAAAGCTGAAAGTCATCTCGGGGGGAGGTGGAGGGGCGTGTGCACCCCCTGGACCCTCCCCCTAGATCCACCCCTGAAGCAAAAGAAAGGCTTTGCTGGCGGAATATCCTTTGGGTTGATCCGCGATCAGGATTCATGATCCAACACCACTGCAATCTCAATGCACCAAAGGAACCGCTAAATCACATCTGGACAAAGGAATTATATAACGCTCAGTTTTCTGGTCTTCATGACTGATACTACCATATTTGGATCAAAAACTTACCATAACAGCCTCAGCTGCTTCAAATCCGGGTGCTTGGTTCTGATAATTGATAAAAGCGGTTGAAAATAGCTTTGCAAAAAAATAAACCACTTCCTCAGGCAGAGAATATGGACTTCCTGACTCGCGTTTCCTGCAAAATTGAATACGCAATTGAATTTACAATTCCTTTTAACCGTTGAGCCTAGAGATCGTTTGCAAATGACGATACGGGCGGCCATATTGGTGTGCAATACATTGAACGGGCGGCCATGTTGGAGCACCAAAAAAAATTGTTTGGGGATTGAAGGAGCAGTGGTATGAAACGTTTCAATCTTATATGGATTGAAACTATGATTTGCCATCGTTCACGCATGAATAAACCCGTTAATCAAACTAACCGGTTTAAAATGGTCCCTTTGCATGTATGAATACAATCATACTAACAAATGCTAAATGTAACAAATGCTTCCTTTTTAACCCACAGTTGTTCAATAGGCGGAAAACGTTGTCCATTGGACAAATCTCTTTCCAGTGGAGAACACAATTCAGTGGTTTCCCAAATACTTATTCACTGGATAGTGATTTATCCGTTGGATAGTGAACAACCCGGGTCTGTTGTCATTATCAAAACAAGAATATGAGATGTTTATAAGCACCGCACTGGAACGATTAGAAATTATTATACATACACCTTACAAAAAGCACATTACAACGCTTACCTCCTCGCGTCGTTTAGAAACTCACAATACCCAATACCAGCAAGCTTCAGCTAATGAGAAAAAAAAAAAAAAAATTTAACAGCACTTACTAGCGCCAACTGTGCGACCCAGAAAAATTGCCCCTGGCAGAAGATTACTCGCCTATCCGAGCTAACCTGGGCAAGCCAACGTTTCATACATTTCCTTACAAAACGTGGCGACGAACCGTTTACACGATAAAAAAAGGATGGTTCGGCTAGAAGGGTACCGGGGTAACCCTTTTCTGATGGTAGGATCACCCTCAAAGCCAGGCCTACTTTTCTCTGTATACACTTTGGCACGCCCAGGCCAACTCAGTCAAGGCGAGAAAAGCAGAGCATTCGCGAGCGCCGTTGGCATTCAAATTTCCCACGACATTTCTTCAGTATAGTGAATTGTTCAGTGAGGTCTTTGTTCTTTTGATTGTGAGAGAACAAAGACCTCACTGAACAATTCACTATACTGAAGAAATGCCGTGGGAAATTTGAATGCTTGATCTACGAAATGCTTTTTATCCAGGAAATGAAACCCAAACTGAACACTCAATCAGACTCAATAAAAGCGAAACTATTAAGTACCTAATTAACACTCACTACATTCCACATTGTAGTCACATGCAACGAGACTTCACACGCATTCTTAATATATAAAAAACTTTTAACAATCTATCTTTTTAGAATTTGAAAATGATGAGCGAGTCATCGAAACGTCATTCAAAATTTTTATCGTTGATTTTTATTCTTAAATGTTTATCGAAAGCGTCTGTTATTAGAATTTTATCGGATATTGTCTGACTAAACAATGTGTCTTCGATTAAGCCCGACAAGTCAACCTCTATAACATAAGCAAAGAAGTTCAGAGATTACCTGATAATCAGAAACTACCATACAGTAAAGCTGGAGTAACTGATGAACGACGTTCTTCGACTCAAGGTATTCTAACGCGGACGCAGCCTGAACTGTGAATCTACAAAGCCGTTCTACACTGTGGTGTTCGGACGCTTTGTCAAGGTTTCCATACTCGGCAAATTCCTCCACCTTTGGGTGACAGTAAATACAATAATCTATCAGTCCTAATAAAGCAGTCACAAAGAAGCCGGCCGTGTTCTTTAAATTTACAAGGGACATGTGGTTACAACATCGGCAAGATCAAAAATACACTACTATTTCTATTTTTTTATTTTCTCAGAACAGGTGTTGAGGGCTGTTCTGTGCTAAGTCGCGTCTTATTTCAGACGAACTGTGCCGTTTACACGGGACAGTTTGCGTCTTATTTTTCCTCGTATAAATGGCCCTAATGTAGACATTCATAAATCTAGCGATAACTGCATCTTTACCTACAATTCAATGTAAAATATTGTTTAGATAATTTCGATTAACGGTCAGTCGCGAAAACAACAGTAACTGTAACGAATCAAAATACATAGGATGTTGTTTGCAACTGACTGACAGCAGGCTAATAAAGTAATTCAACAGTCAAACTTTCTTTGAATAGAACATGAGGGAACCAAGAAAAAAAGCCCTCCTTTATAATGGAAGGCTTAAACACGGGCAAAGACAGCAGTAGATGGAGGACTGTTTCACACAGAAAAACATCACCATCCATATCCTTCCTTTCTCACTGCCCGTTGAAATTTTTTCTTTATTATTATTTTTTAATGTAAAAACCAGGAATACTTACTAAAGCCACGTACGGTGAATATGAGCTGGCAATGACCACTCCATGGAAATCAAGGATGTACTTATGACGGAAACTATTCGCCATTTCTGCTTCATGTAAAAATAGTTGCTTCTCAGTTTCTCCATAACGAAGACACACTTTTTCCTACAGAGAGAAAACGCCATTGAAGCTTCAGAATGCGCAGCGCGGTAAATCCCCCTCCCCCCTTCCCCCGTACGCAAAAGGAGCTTGCGCGTATACAGAAATGCAAAATAAAACCAACGATAATTGCACGTACCGTCAACTTTAAAAATTAGCACTGGTATGGCATTTCATGTATGCACAGTGTTTTATTTTCTTGAATATTTAGTGCCGCTGTGTTTGAGGTTGACAGGCTTAAAGGGATCACGAATTCACAGTTAACAACCAAATTCATCATCAGTTTTATATACAGTCGAATGAATTCTTTAGAAAAAAGTAGATAGGTCTTTCTGCACATATTCTAGAAAGAGATTTCTGTAATATGACTCTTCTTAGCGACCACTAAATCTTCGCATTTTGGTCGAACGCTTACGGAAGGTTCGACTGATTTGAAAAATTGCAAAGATGACACAAAATTCAGCCCAAAAAGTCATCGACCAGCCGATGTTCAAAAGAAAAAGTCGTAATTATA